GGGAGGAATGGGGTAGTGGGGGGAGGGAAGCCCCCGCTGCAGGCACCCCCAGAGTCAGCCCACCTGAGGGCTCATCCATCCACCTGCGCAGGAAGCGGTTCCACCCCTGCCCCCCCAACTCCCAAGCCCAAGGCCTTTTTTCACCATGGGAGGCAAACAGCATTCAGTTAAGCAATGGTTAAAAAAAAAAAAAAAAGAAAAAGAAAAGAAAGAAAATCCTTCCTGTGGTATAATGAAGAGACACTCACGTGGCAGAGCTCCCGAAACAGACCTCAGCTGTGGAGGGTGATGGAGAGAGCGTGCTGAAGTCTGCAGCTCGGCCATGCCGCACACACACAGCGATTCCCTGAGCTCACGTGAGGTCACAAGAGATTGCTGCCTTCGGACGCCAGCCTTGAAGAGGCAAAAGCTGTCTGGGGAAACACACCGCTCCAAGACTCTGCTCAGGGCCCTCCGGGGGCTCAGTAGGGGCCAGGGGTCTTCCCTTGCCTGCCATACCCTCTTCCTGGGAGTATGTGTGTGTGTGCCTGAGCGAGGGCCAGGTGTTGAGTTTGTTCATTCACTCATTCGGTGAATGCCTATTGAGCGCCTGAAGGAACCAGGGCTTTCCCAGGCTGGGGGCACACAGCGCTGCCCTGGAGATCTGCTTGGGCTCTCCCCACAGGGGTTGAGACCTCACAGCTAAGGAGGATGGGTCGTAGGTGAGGGAGACACCCAGCTCTTCTGTGACTGCTGTGTGGGTGAGGGATGGGGCTTTCCATCGCGGTGTCCTCAGGGAGTCATATTTTCTAATGCAAAAAAGAGTTAAATTTAAAGAACACATTTTTTCTCATCTCCGCTTCCAGGTGAAAAAGGCGGTCAGGGAGATACAGTTTCAGTCATGAAAATGGTGTTTTCCACATAGTTTTGACGGTCCATGAGGACTGCTGGTTAGGGTATTCAAAAGTAGGGCTTCATGCAGGGTAAAATACAAGTGGTAGGAACATTAGGAAGATGGAAATAAGAAGGAGTGAGAATTGTAACTCTGCGGATAGAATGCTTATTTCTGAGATGTGTGTAGCACTAAAAAGGAGGATATTCATTGCTGAATAGGAAGATGCATTTATTTTGCATATTAGCATTAGTAGAAGTAATTAACAATAACAGCTAACATTTTTGAGTTTTTACTCTCTGTCAGAGAGTATCTTAATAATAACTTAGCACATATTATCTCACTTAATTTCTTCCAATAACCATCTGAAATGGGCACCCTTATAGATCTCACAGGTAGACGTGCGGGCAAAGGCTCCTGGTCCCAAAGTGTCAGAAGCCTGCCTCTGGGACATTGCTGCAATTCTAGCTTGAATGTATGGGAACACATGCTAAGTGACAGCTCCCCAGATGAAACGCCTTGGTGCAGAGTCAGAAAAGCCTCCTTTGAGCCCCATGTTGCCACTTGTTGGCTGGGTGGCCTTGGTGAGTCGCTTCCTGGCTCTGCTGCCCAGGTCCCCGTCACTGGTTCGCTCTGCCTCTCTCTTGCTCAGATGAAAACACTGGCCAGCAGCACATACTGAGCACTTCTAGGGGATCCAAAGATGCGTGCAGTAAGGCTGTCTGTGGCCCTGAGAGCGTGCCTCGAGGGAGGACGCAGAGCAGGGAGCACAGGACCGCAGCTCCATGTGACAGCAGAGCATGCCAAGGGATGCACCAGCGACCGGGAGCGAGCTGGCTGCATCTGGAGGGTGGTTCACGGGAGGGCTCCAGGCCAGGCACAGGGAGCTGAAGACCCCCCTGACCCTAGGCGGACGCAGCTGGACGTGGAGGGGCAGGGAGGCATCAGGGGTGGGTGGCCGCCGTCAGCTGGTGTGGCCATATGCCACTGAGACTGTGACCACTCCCAGGACGAGGCCCAAAGCTAGAGGCCTTGAATGTGAGGTGAGGACTGTGGCCTGAGTGGCTGTCAGCAAGGAGCTGGTGGCAACAGGATGGGATGTATAGGAGCCACGCGTCCACCATGTGTAATTAAGGTTAACTCGGGGGGGCACAGGATGGGCAGCAGCCATGGGGACGGGCACGTGGAATGTAAAGGGGGAAAAAGTGGAGGCAGGTGCCCCTCTGAGTTTGTTTCCAACTGGCCTCATCTAAAACCACCTCTAGGAAACTTTGATATGTTTCATTTGTGATTGGAATTCAAACCAGACTGAAATTTTCCTTTTTGTTGTATTTCATAAAATAAAGAAAAAATGATTGATTGCCTTTAAGCAGTTGTATAAGATAGCTCAAGAAGTATTTAACCTGTTTAGAAGAGCCAACTATTTTTGAGAGCTTGACCAGTATCTTGGGAGAGGGCGGCCGGTGAAGGGCAGAAGGATATTTCCTATTTATTTGATCAAGGGTGACCAGAATGTCTCGGTAATGCTCTGCAACCCATGAATACAGACTGCTGGAGTCTTTTTATTTTTTGAGACAGAGTCTCCCTGTGTCACCCAGGCTGGAGTGCGATCTCAGCTCACTGCAAACTCCACCTCCCGGGTTCAAGTGATTCTCCTGCCTCAGCTTCCCAAGTAGCTGGGGATTACAGGCACCTGCCACCACGCCCAGCTAATTTTTTTTGTATTTTTAGTAGAGACGGGGTTTCACTATGTTGGCCAGGCGGGTCTTGAACTCCTGGCCTTGAGATCCGCCCGCCTCGGCCTCCCAAAGTGCTGAGATTGCAGGTGCCTGGCCGCAGCTGCATCTTTTAACATGTACCTTACAACACAATCATTTCTTTGCGTCTTTGTCCGGGTTCTCTCTACCCCACCCCATTAGCCTAGATCAATGCAATCTAAATTACCATCTCCAGCCAATTCCATTTTAGCACAATGAAAGCTAAAGGAATTTAATGGTCAGCAATGGAGGGTTCTGATGAAATTTTCATCTGGAAAAAGATGTAGAAGATAAAGCTTTTGATCAGCTTTGAGAGCATTCCTGCCTGCAGGCTGACCACAGCGGTCTGGACTTCCTCTGTGTTTATAGGAGTGGAGCTCCTGTCCTGCTCTCCCACCGCAAAGCCACAGTCACATCTGCAAAGCCTCCACTTTTAGTGCCTGCATCTGAAGGGCTCTAAATGTTACATTTGTTCCTCGGGGCCCACCCCTAATTTAGTTTAGTGTTTTTTTTTTTTTCCCATCCCCATAGGAAAACCGTTGTCTATTTTTGTCTAGATAAATGGTTTGTCCTCTATTGCAGTTGACTTTCTTTTATGATCAATTAGTTTGAGGTTGTCAGTCCTGCTTCAAAGCTACTATGTATCTTTCGTTCTCCTCTACCCTGTAATTTATAAGCCCTATGGGTTTCAAAAAAAAGAAGAAGAAAAAGAAAGAGAGAGAGAAAAAAAGAAACCCTACAGTACTTTTATTAGCCGCTGAAATGCATTAGGGTGCATACACTTTGAACTGCACAGAGGAAGATCACTGTGCCTGTAATTGGAATAACTCGCATGGGTCCCCTCTGAGCTCCCTTTAATAACCTCTGCCTTGTTTTATCCCCAGGATTTATTGATGACCTACAATGGCCCTCTCCTGGGCCTCTGCCCACTGGGGTGTTTGTGGGGAATAGGGCAATGCACGAGGCCCACTCCCTGACCTGCGCCTCTCCATAAATCAGGGCCTGCATTCGCCCGTGATGAGGAGCCAGATGGCAGCTGTTGTTGGAGGAGCTCAACAGGAATCAAGGCCTGTGATCTTTCCTGTTGCTAACAGGCCTGATTTTTTATGGCTGTCAGCATCCTTGGAATGGCCAAGGCAGGCACGAAGGGAAGCCGGGAGGGCAGGGGCCTGGTAGCCCTGGATCTGTGCCTTCTTCTCCCAAGGGGGCAAGCCACAAAGGTCTCTCCTCTCCCTCCCTAGCTGGGAGGCTTGGCCTTATATTTTATTTCTGAAGAAGTTTCCTAGGGTGTGCAAGTGACAAAGCTAAATGTAAGCAAACACCTCCTGGAAAGGAAAATGGCGGCCAGCTTCCTTTTGCCGTGGTTCATGGGCGCCATGGTGTCATGGCACGGCCTGAAACACGAAAGCTGTCCCTTTCCACTGGAGTGACGACTAAAACGGTCTTGTTGTCCTAGATGCCTTTGATGTTGAATTAAAAGCCGTTTCTTAAAACTACTTGGTGGGTCCCATGTTTGGATGTTTTGCTTTTTCAGAGTGAATGGACAGGAGACGCAAGGAAGATGAGGAGGTAGGAGGTGAGGGGAACGGATGGAAGGCAGACAGCTTGCCAGGCACGGAGAGAAACCCAGCCCATTCTGAGGGGCCTGCCTGGGGGCGTTTGCTGCAGAGAAGGTGGAGCAGTGCCACGGTGGGTGCATGGGTCTGGGCACCAGCGGGTGCAACCAGACAATGGGCCGTCCCTGTGTGATCCGCCACGTGCCTCCAACAGACTTGGCCCTTCGCAACAGAACCGGCCACAAGGCAGGGCTGTGTGGACAGTGCTGAGCAGCCTGCAGATGCCTGGGAGAGAGCCACGGAATCCCAGATGCAGCCCAGTGCTTTATAGGGCAGGAGGGGAATCTGTCTATTTAGGAGGGCTTGAAGCCAGTCTCAGACTGCGGGGTTGCTAAGCTTACACAGAAAGCAGACATACCCAAGACACCGCATTCAGAATATTCTAGGGGACGATCCAGGTTCTTAGAGGGGCTGGCTGGAAAAAAGCCATTCAGATGTTTCCCAGAAAGGATGGATGCTGTCAACTGAGCAGCAGTGGAGGCAGAGGTTGCAGCGATGTGAACACGGCTGGAAGGGACCGCAAGCCAAGGAGTGCAGGAACCTCTAAAGCTGGGAAATAAGGAAGTGCGTTCTCCTCTGAAGCCTCCAGGAGGCGTGCAGTCCTGTGGACACCCTGATGCTAGCCCACCACGGCCCATTTTAGACTCCTAATGTCCAGAACTATAAGAAGTAAATTTGTGTTGCCTTAATCCTCTAAGTGTTTGGTACCTATTACACCAGTCAGCCTCTGTATCTGCGAGCTCTGCCTCCACCCATTCAACCAACCAGGGGTAGGAAATATTTAAAAGAAAACAATAAAAAATCACAATACAACAATAAAAAGAGAAATTAAAAAGAATACAGTATAGCAACTATTTACATAGCATTTACATTGTATTTGGTATTGTAAGTCATCTGGAGGTGATTTAAAGCATTGAGAGGGTGTGTGTGGGTTATAGGCAAACACGACCCCAGTTTCCATCAGCAACCTGCACATCCTTGGAGGTCCAGGCACTGATCCCCCACAGATTCTGAGGGACGACTGTACACTCATCGTCGTGAAATGGCTTTTCCCTGTGTTTATTTCACTTTTTTACAAAACATGTTTTCCCTCATACAAACGCTCAGTCTCCCTGAGACTGAACATCGCCAGTGATGCTCTGAATGACTCAGGTGAAAAGTGAAGGGTTGAGGTGCAATTTGTTGTTTGAAAACAGATCTGAGCCGGAACAAATGTCTTGCATAAGAGAGCCAAGTTAGGAGCCGGCGAGGAGGGATGAGGGGGCACAGACTCAAAGCGGGCGGTCCACTTTCACTTTGGGGGTAGTTTCTCTGGCACAGGGGTGCTTTGAGCAGGGCCTCTGGGCATCTCTGCCTTCTCGGTCTGGACCAGTGTCTGACTAAGGTTTTTTTCTTCTAGCTGATAAATCTAATTTAAGGAAGCAAATATGCATGCAGAAGCACAGGCATGCAGAAACCCCACACGAGATTTCATCCTTGCTGATTTCACTTCACAGCTGAAGCGCTGAGCTTGGCTTTCTACACGAGCCGTTGCACAGGAACGCAGTGTCTGACAGTGGCTTGGATATGGGTGTGGGGTCCCAGACTGGCGTGAATCCATGGCCTCTCTTCTTATGAGCTGCGTGACCTCGAGTGGTTCAATCTCTCAATCTCCATTTCCACGATGTGGTCGCACCTCACCCACTGCTGAAAACATTAAATGACTGCTGTGTCCTTATCACAGTGCTGGGCACGTAGCCACACAGGCATGCTCCGAAATGTGAGTTTGTTATCTTAATAATTCATATTTGGCAGAACTAAATGCATGGCTTAATTCATTATTCTTTTAACTCAGGTCATAATCTGACCCACAGATGAAGAGGGTGGTAATGATAAAAATAGGCAGCATTTATTAATCACCTGCCATGTGCCTGTCAGACACTCTTTCAAACGCTTTACACATGCAGTAATGAAAGCCCAGGGTGTTTGTGGGTCACCTTGCTAGGCAGTGGCAGCACTTGGATTCGAACCCAAGCAGTCTGAGCCCAGAGCCTGACTGACCTCTTGGTCTCCGGGGAGGCTGGCCTTGTGGCCCGACTAAGCACAGAAGGGCCAGCATATCCGTTTCTGCTCCTGATTTCCTTACAATCATCAAGGCGCCCTGGACACTGTCCTTAAGATTAAATGACATTGACTAATCTCTTGGAGATGCCAGCCAAGAAAAATCTTGGCTTTCGATGGAATCTGGGAGGAGAGGAGGAGGAGAGAGTTGATTCTTTAGCTGGGTGAGTTGAGGTAAGTCTTCCGGGCATTTCTCCAGCATCGTGGGTGGTTGGGGCAATCCCTGTGACTTCTAGTGATTGCTTAGAATGATTCACCTCGGCACTGTCTTCCGGACGCAGGGTGAGTGCCAGGGTGCTCACCTTTACTGAGCGAGTCATTACCATGATCAGAAGAGGAAGAACCGTGCTTTCCAGGATGCCGGAAAATGCGGAGGCTGGGCTCAGAACAAGCACCTTAAGGAAGAGGGTGACAATTTGGGGAGCTGACATTTGAAAAAGTACAGGAAAAGTAGGAATTAGGGAAAATAGGTAATACTGGATATCCTGACATCAGAGAACAAAGTTATCACGAACACCCAAGAAAGACTAAATCCTGGAAGAGGTTAAAAATCTACTTCCAAAAACTGGAAAGAAAAGTGAACACCGTGATTAAAATTCCAGATCTGTGATGAGACCTGAAGCGGGAAGACTCAAGGATGAAATGGCTGGCTGGGCTCAGTGACCACACATGTCCTTCCCAACGCAGCACTTCACATCGCAGAAGCTGCCGGGATTTCCTTAGCTCCATATAGCAGCTGCTCCATTTGACCCGAAGGAAAAATATTTCAGATTAGTTTCCAAACCAGATTAGTTTCCAAACTGCAGCCTGCCTCCCGCTCCAGTCCTATTGTTTGAGGAATTCTTTTATTTCTCTTCTTCAACCAACTCCTCTCTACCGCCTTTTTTCCTTTCTCCCTTCTTTTTCCTGCTCCCTCCTTCCTCCTCTCCTTCTTCTTTTACCTCTTCCCCCCCTTCCTGCTTTTCTTCTACGTTCTCTGCTTAAACTTCCGACTTCTAGAATAATTTAATTTCCAATAGGATGCAAAGCAAATAACCTGGCTTAGAAGCTTTCCATGCCATCTGATGCCACCTTCGCGCTGCACAATTGGCAGTGCGCAGGGAACTGAAGTAAAGGCATGGATCTTCTGTTGAACGAGAGGCTAAATTAAAAAAATTTTTTGGCTGTCATACTTTCAGTTCAAAGCCAGTGGCTTTATTTTCATAAAATAAAAAATTAAAGTGAGTTTGCTTATGCACTGCAGGGTGATTAGGCTGTCCCTGGGGTTGAAGAAAAACAGAATAATTTAGCTCCAGCTGATGTTTTGATTCCACAGTGAGAAGGATGCGGATTTTCATTGCACAATAATAACATTTCAGCCATGGCTTCTGAGCCTCGGGGCATTGTTGCTATAAATATTATTTCCATTGGATTATGTTGTGTTGAGACCTGGATTATGTTAATATTTTAAAAGTCTTATCTCAGCTCTTGCATGTTTTAAATACCAGGAAGGGTGTAATGGGGAAGCCAATGTTATGTAGGCTAAATGAACCGCATTAAAACGAGCTGTGCTTTCTCCCTGGTTGGTTATAGCGTAGATTGGGAGAGTCAGCGAGTTGTGTCTCAGAAACAGCCACACATACTGAGCAGGGGCCCGCGGGAAAGGGAGAAAACCTAAGCAGACAATGGAAACTCGGGAGGAGCAGAATTCACAGAGGCCAAGAACAGAGCGAAATAAATGAGTGGCAGAAGAAATAGGGCAAAGTTGATTTTTTTACCCTCTGAATCCCTTCTTACATAGCCCAGATATCCTATTCAGTACTTCATTCATTCGTTCATGCCACCCCCATCCTATTGTCAGGAGAGATTTAGAGACAATGGAACCTCAGAAACAAAAGCAACAGCGTGAATGAAATGAATGTGGGGAACACGCAGAATGCAGCCGAAGGCATGAAGCCAACAGGAAGTTGGACAGTGGGATGTAGGTGGTGGGTTTTTTTGTCTTGTTTTTTCAGTTTGACACAATCAAATTTCTATTTTGTGTCCTTTGGTACTTGTTGGCCTAAATCCATTTTTGGCTAAAAAATACGATAAATCCAACCACTTCGTTTATTTTCATGTTCCTCATTTCAATGGAAATAATGGTGGCTAAGATTAGGGAATGCGGAGAGAGGCCGCTCTGTAGGTGTGATGAAGGGAGCTAACGGGCGATGGAAATCCGGTGGGAAATGCGACAGGATGGATGTGGGGCAGTGGAAGAGGAGAAGAGGGGGCAGCGGAGACAGCCATGGGGCGTCATGTCGGGGAGGACTCCTGGACTGTGCTTCCCCAGCAGCCCGGGTGACCAGCAGCAGAAGGTTCCAGACTCTACCAGAGGCTCTGTTTAGCTTCTGTCTCCTCAAGAGTCTATCACTTTCTCCCTAGGTTTTTGACACATAGTGGATGTTCTATAAATGCTTGTTAGACTCAACTAAACTAAACCGCTCAGGTTTAAAAGCGGTGAGTAGAACTGCAAGGAAAAAAAAGCCATACGCTGTGTGAAGTAGATAATAAAAATGTAATAGTAAGAGACAGATCGTAACGGACACAAAGAAAGCATCTTTCAGACGGTGTAGGGTCTTTCCTTTTAGAGTAGAGAAAGCACGCCCATCGCAAGTTTCCACGGCACCTGCTCTTCCTTCTTTCTCCACAGTTCATAGCAACCTGGATCGTAAGTAGCTGCCGGGTCGTCTTTCTTCCGACTGGAATTGAGGCTTTGAGCAGATGGCGAGCGGGACTGTTTTGCTGTCTGTCATACAGGGAGCCTAGCACGGTGCCTGGCCGATCACAGTTGCTCCATATATGTTATGTTGAATGAATGAGAAAACAAGGCTAACGTTAGAAGGGACGCATGAAGAAATAGGGGAAAATTTAAAAAATGACTAAGGGCAGAAGAAGATGTTGAGACATTTTGAACGAAGGAATTTAACTTGATTTTTTTTTTTTAAAAGCTCTTTAGTGAAAAGAGGGAAAGGATGTTACGATAATAAAGATGTGTATGGAATCCCCTGGCATTTTCGTTGCTTTATCTGTAAAATGGACTTAATAATACCAATCTAAGAGGTTTTTTTGGTGAGGATTAAATGAGACCATGTGTAGGATGTACAGCGTTTATTATAATTAATTAACATTGTTAGCTTGAAAATAATAGAAGCCCAGTTTGAACTTAAAAAAAAAAAAGGAAAAGAAAAAAAGCAGGGATCGCTTTACCACGAGTGTAGACAAGCCAAGAGGGGTGGTTGGGGCAGGGGTGTGAGAGCTGGGAGGACCTGCCAGTCCCCTGGGTGTGTTGGCTTCATCCTCGCCATCCGCAAACCTGCCACCATGGCCACAGCCGCTCTGGACCCGTGTCTCAACAGCTTCACAGGTAGAGAGGAATGGACTTCTCTTCATTCAGCAGACCCCGAGGTCTTTGCAAGAGCCCCATCTGCAGTGTGCGCTCAGCTCTGCTCCTCATGGTGGCCAGAGACGGGACATACCATGACTGCCCTTGGAGGGGGCACACACCCACCTTTCAAACAGAGACAGAGGCATTGAGGAAACCCCTGTAGACCAGGCAGCCACCCCAATTTGTGTCTAGCATCTTCAACGCATGAAAGCTACGAATGGTGTTAGTGAGAGTAAAATGCAGTGGAAAAGGCAACGGTAAGGAAACGTGCGGCTTTCCCTCACGACTTCCACTCCATACGTAGCTCAGTAACCAGGCACCTGCCACTGGCTCTGCACCTGGCCCCCTGCCCTGACAGCTTGAAGAGCTCAGAAGCCAGCGTGGACACGGTGAAATTCAAAGTCCAGCCCTGGCTGGTCTCAGAGTGGCTGCCCCTGGAAGCTGCCTTTCCTTTTCCCTCCTCTTGTTTAAATAATTAAACATCAAGTTCCACAAAAGCAGGCGTCACAGCTTCTATTTCCCCTCGTGCACCTCGCATTAGACAGAGTGCCACGTTCTCGTGTTTACTGTGTGCTTTTTAATAACGAATGGGTGAACACCATCAAACAGCAACCAGCTTGCAAAATGAAACCGTTCTGTCAAACCGGTTTCTGTGAAAGCAACTGGCTGAAAATAATGGAAAGTTTTGCCGTAGAAAATACATCTCCTGACATAGTTTAAAGTCCTCATTTGGATGCCGAGGATGTACAGATCCGCCAGTGTGGCAGCCTCCTGAAGACATAGGAGATGTGACCTCTGACAAGGTGCCAATGAAATGGCTTCTTTATTGTTTTAAAGTAAGCTGTTTAAATATTTCTCAGCAAAAGCTTAATTTTTCCCCTGTGTATCTTTCCGCTAATCCTACATGCAAAATCTAGTCTGAAAAGACAGCATAGAGATCCAAAGAATGCATTGGCAAAGGGGCTCACCACCAAGACCGCAGTAACACAGTCCAGGGGACAGCTGGGCTCCAGGCCTCTGCGGTGGAGTGACTGGACTCACACTCAATTGGTCCTAAAATGGCTCCTGAACAAGGGGAGCTTGGAGTCCTATTTTAAAGAAAGTTGGAGCCATGCATTGAAGTTGAGAATAGGGACAGGAAACTGGAAAAAGAAATTACCTAGTCACAAGCATGATTTTTTTTATTGTACCTTAAGTTCTGGGGTACATGTGCAGAATGTGCAGGTTTGTTACATAGGTATTCATGTGCCATGGTGGCAGTTTGCTGCACCCATCACCCTGTCATCTACATTAGGTATTTCTCCTAATGCTCTCCCTCCCCTAGCCCCCACCCCTCTGCTATCCCTCCCCTAGCCCCCAGCCCCCGACAAGCCCCAGTGTATGATGTTCCCCTCCCTGTGTCTATGTGTTCTCACTGTGCAACACCCACTTATGAGTGAGAACATGTGGTGCTTGATTCTCTGTTCCTGTGTCAGTTTGCTGAGAATGATGGTTTCCAGCTTCATCCATGTCCCTGCAAAGGACACGAACTCATCCTTTTTGATGGCTGCATGGTATTCCATGGTGTATATGTGCCACATTTTCTTTATCCAGTTTCTCATGGGCATTTGGGTTGGTTCCAAGTCTTTGCTATGTGAGCAGTGCCACAATAAACACATGTGCATGTGTTTTTATAACAGAATGATTTGTAATCCTTTGGGTATATTACCAAGTAATGGGATTGCTGGGTCAAATGGTATTTCTATTTGTAGGTCCTTGAGGAATCGCCACACTGTCTTCCATAATGGTTGAACTAATTTACACTCCCACCAACAGTGTAAAAGTGTTCCTATTTCTTCACATCCTCTCCAGCATCTGTTGTCTCCTAATTTTTTAATGATTGCCATTCTAACTGGCGTGAGATGGTATCTCAATGTGGTTTAGATTTGCATTTCTCTAATGACCAGTGATGATGAGCATTTTTTCATATGTTTGTTGGCTGCATAAATGTTTTCTTTTGAGAAGTGTCTGTTCATATCCTTTGCCCACTTTTTGTTGGGGTTGTTTTTTTCTTGTAAATTTGTTTAAGTTCTTTGTAGATTCTGGTTATTAGCCCTTTGTCAGATGGGTAGATTGGAAAAACTTTTTCCCATTCTGTTAGCTGCCAGTTCACTCTAATGAGAGTTCCTTTTGCTGTGCAGAAGCTGTGGAGTTTGATTAGGTCTCACTTGTCTACTTTGGCTTTTGTTGCCAATGCTTTTGGTGTTTTGGTCATGAAGTCCTTGCCCATGCCTATGTCCTGAATGGTTTTGCCTAGGTTTTCTTCTAGGGTTTTTATGGTGTTAGGTCTTATGTTTAAATCTTTAATCCATCTGGAGTTAATTTTAGTGTAAGGTGTCAGGAAGGGATCCAGTTTCAGTTTTCTGCATATGACTGGCCAGTTTTCCCAACACCATTTATTAAATAGGGAATCCTTTCCCCATTGCTTGCTTTTTTTTTTTTTTTTAAGAGAGTCTCGCTGTGTCACCCAGACTAGAGTGCAATGGCACGATCTCAGTTCACTGCAAACTCTACTTCCCAGGTTCAAGCTATTCTCTTGTTTCAGCTTCCCGAGTAGCTGAGATTACAGGTGCATGCCGCCACACCTGGCTAATGTTTTGTATTTTTAGTGGAGATGGGGTTTCACCATGTTCCCCAGGCTGGTCTCGAACTCCTCAGCTCAGGCAATCCACCTGCCTTGGCCTCCCAAAGTACTAGGATTACAGGCATGAGCCACTGCGCCTGGCCACAAGCATGAATCTTAAAGCAAGACAGGTGTCTTTTTCTCTGTCTTTAGAACAGTATACTCCTCTGTGATTAATGAGGGGAAGGGAGGGAAAGCGTGAGATCGGAGTGGGAATGGCCGGGAGGTTGCTCCAGTGAGCTGTGTTCTCTCTTTGGTCTGTGCCCAGAAGCAGGATTGGTGTGAGAGGTCAGCACCGAGAGAGGGGCTTGGGAAGCCAGGGCCAGAGGAGCCGAGGTGTGAACACTTGGCAGATGCGGACGGGCTGCAGAAACTTGAGATCTCTCAGAGTAGCAGAGACCATCCCAGGGGTGGCCGGGGAGAGGTAGGTGGGTAACTGGAAGAGGCCACAAAACATGTGTGAGGCACTTTGAAAGCAGAGTCCAGGGGTCAATCTGGATCTACCAAGGTGATTAGAGTGAAAAGTGAGAGACGAGGGAGGGAGAAAACAGCAGGAGACAGAGGGAAGGAGAGAGGAGGGAGGGGATGGCTTGGTCAGGACAGTCTGGGTCACGCCTTAGTAACAAACAAACCCTGCACCTCTGCGGTTAAACGGCCAAGGTTCGCTTCTTGCTCCCTTGCACGTCAGCCTCTCAGTCGCTCAGAGGCCCAGCTGATGGGCATGCCATCTTGAGATATGTCATCACCGTTGGAAATGCCGGACGAGAAGGGGCAGTTCTGGTTTTCAAAGTACGCACTGGTTCTCAAAGCTTCCTTCGGGAAATGGTGCACCGCCTTTCCCACTCACATTTCATTGCATGAACAAATCACATGGTTGTGATGATTTCAAAGGTGTGGAAAAGGTCAAGCCTAATGGGACCAGAAACTTTGTGAGCGGCGCCAAATCTAGCGCAAGGAGAAATGGAGAGTGCACAGCCCCGGAGGAGCTGCCGTGGAGACCTGGTGCTTGCAGAGAGCTCACCCGGAGAGGGATGCTCATGGCTATTCCAAAGCCTCCACGACCCTCGGACAGTTTCTGACCCTCTCCTTTCCCTTGACTGTTTCAAAGAGACATATTTCAAATTCTCAAGCTTAACACCCTAGAGTTGTCAATATAAAATTAATCTTCATCTGCATAAATGTCAAAATCTATGCCTGAAGAAGCTGCAATCAGTGAAGGAGGCCCGTGCTGTGTTCTGGGGCGAGTCATCTCTGCCGAATGAAGGGCTGTGAATATTCTTCGGGAGGTCAGATGGAGAGGCTGCTACAGTTTAGTGAAGACTTGCTGTGGGGACCCCCGAAGAGAGACACCGTTGCTTTGCGTTCTGTGGGAGCAGGCTCACAGCCAGGGTGCGGCAGGGTAACAGTGGCCAGCAGCCCACAGCGTGGGCAGAGAGTATGCCTGGGAAGTGGGCTGGGGGCTGATCGGATGAGTACCTCTTTCAAGCTCTGTTTTGTTGGTAAGGCACTTGGGACAGTGATCTTTCCCCTGTCTGATAATCTGTACCAAGATTAAGGAAGTAAGGTATCCTTCGGGGATCAAAATGTAAGATTGAAACACAGTGGTGTGGAGCGGTCATTTGCAATGGTTGCTTGAAGGAGACGGCTGACTCTCAAGCCACCAAGACCTGTATGCTCCTTAGTCATCTGTCAAAAGCTTATTGGGCACCTCCTATGGACCGAGGATGTTGTGGACACTTGAGGTGTAGTGATGTGCAAGACGGACATGCTGGATGCTCTGATGTGCCCCCAGGTCCCCCTGAAGGAAAGACACTGCTGAGGATGTCGCTGGCAGGTGGTCCTCAGCTGTCAGCCCTTTTGGGGACTGCCTGAGCTACAGGGAGCTGCTTCCCTCAAGATCACAGCACATTTAGAGAGCAGCCCAGCACCAATGACGAACCAATGGGGAACACAAGGCCCAGTGCTGTGTGTGCTGACCTGGGACAAGGCCGCAGTGAGAGCCCACCTTCAGAACTCCCTGCAGGGCTGACGGAGGTTTCTGGTAAGCTGGCTGTCTGGTGAGCTGGCAGTCTGTTTAGCTGTCTGGTGAGCTGTCTGGTGAGGTGGCTGTCTGGTGAGGTGTC